CCTTAGGACCCAATAATACGCTGTTTCACTAAAAATCAGTAAAACGAACCAACATGGAAATGCTCCCCTTGGTGGAGCGGACATTTGAAAGTCCCTCCAAAGCCTCTGCTAGCCTCTCCTATTTGGTACTCACTGACTTAAAAATTGTTCAGGCAGTGCTGTGCTGGAGCCAGCTCAAGCTGTATTGGAGCCAACTTATACTGGCTCTTGAAAACATATTGTTGTGTTTTCAGCTGGTTGACATTAAGTTAGTAGCTTGAAATTGGCTGGGATGAGAGTATTTACACCATGGAAATTGGTAGGTGCTAAAAATCTGGGTTCCACTGTTTTCCAGAGCCAGTTGTTAAACATTTGGCAGCACACCAAAGAGCTAAAACTGTCTGAGAATCACACAGAAGGAAAATCAAAGGAACTCTTTGGTATCACTGTTGTGTAAAGCCTTTCTATGTGCACAGCTATAGAAAGAAGTCTGGCCAAAGCTTCATTAGGATGGTGGCACATTATCCAACAGAGGTGGTACAAGGCTGCAAGTGATAACTGATCACCCTTGTTATACTGGGTTGGTCTTAGAACTGGAGCCTCTTGAATTTCCTTTTTTGATTGGTTTCATTTTAGCCTGAATACCTTCGTGTTCTGGATACTACTTGAGGTTGATAAATCAGACCCCTTAGATAAATATTTTAGGCTCTGGGAATGACTTCCAAATTGAATCTGAATGTATCATTTAAGTTCCCTGTTTCTCATTCTCACCAGTTCTAAAGATGAGTGACCTGAGATCTGTCTCTTAGTTTGAAATATAAAGAGGGAAATATGAAGAGCTGGCCTTGAGATAAACTGTATATTAAAGCTATGCTTTCCACCTTGTCTTTGGGCTTGCATCCATTCTGACTAAATTGATCAGTTACTATTTGCTTATAAATTAGCAACTGGTCAATTCAGCTGAAACAGCTGAATTGTTGAGTCACTAAGACTGTGTCTATATTGCCATTTACCATGATAACCTCAAGGAATATGTGAAACCAATCACACAAGGACAGATAAGCTTTAGCTACTTGGTTCAAAATGGCATATATGACTCCCAATGTATATATTATTGGTTTCCAAATGCTGGCCACATGAATCACCTGGGAATCTTTGTAAGTTGGACTTATCCCAGGACATTATGAATCAAAGGTCCAGAGTGAGTGGCAAGAATTGTATTTTGAAGAGTTGCTTATTTCATACAGCTGTGTTTGCTGGGGAATCAGCTGCATAATCCGGGTCCTAACCCCAGAACCCCAGGGTAACCTTAAACTGAAGTCAGTTACTCAGCAACAGCTCTTCACTCTGATGCCACTGTCATCAACAACAAGAGAATAGGCTTCACTGAGGAACATCTATTCATACACGTCTTCAATCATAAGTCATCACAATAAAAATAAATTTTCAGAAATACTGCATAACACGACAATATATAATACAATAATGACATTCTAAAATGTTTCCCATTTCAAATGTATCTATGTGGCAAAGCGATCGGAGAGGGGCATAATGAGTCATTTTGATGCTTAGTACCAACTGATCTGTGGCCTTGATTAATTGGGCCACAGAGTCCAGACAGGTCAATCAGCTGGCCAAGGTGCCCTCAATCCCCAACACCCAGGGTGCTCCATCTGGGCTGCCAGCCACAAACACATAGCCCCTTTGCAAGCAAAATGACAGTTCTACACATTCCGGGGGAAGTAGAGGCTTAAGCAGAAACTTGTGCCTAGTGCATTCAAACAATTATGGGAAAAAAGGTTTTAAGAATCCAGAATTATACAGAAAATTGCTCAGTTTGTCATTTTGCACATGAAGACTCACAAAATTATTATTATTTGTCTATCTTCTTAGCATATTGAACCAAACACAATATTTCAAAGTCTGCTGTTGAGATTACCTATAAAATAGAAGGCATTTCTTAACTCAAGGGACCCCGATGAAAGTTATATATATATGGAGAAGTACACAACAATTTTCAGCCTTCAACTTCTAAATTATGCATATACATTACTAAACAAGGTTTTATTAAGATGAATAGCTTATTGGGTAAGATTCCAGCTGTCAAGCATGAACCACCAGTAACTGAATTGTTATTTATCAAATCATGATTTACCAAGGGTGTTTTCTTTCATCTCAGGGAGAAGGTAGGTAATAACTGGTGGACAGTTGCATACCCACATAAGCATTTCCTTTATTGTTCTGTGTTGGGAAGTAATTTTTGGGAGGGAGGGGAGAACCTTTTTTCCTCTTTTATAGCCATTCTAACTTATTTTATGTGCCCTGCAGATCCCAGACCAAAACTCACTTTCCCTGTGAGCCCAGCTTCATTTGATGCTGGTAAGGCCAAGAAGTACTAGAGGAGGAATCATAATTTCTCCACTAATTGACTATGTCATCTGGGGCAAATCACCTAGCCTCTCTGTTTCTCAATTTTCTCATTTGTAAAGTCAAGAATCAAGACTGGCAAAGCTGAAGGCCTCTTAATTTCCAGTGTCCTAGCATTCTACAGTGTTGTCCCTGCTTCCTTTGACCTCAGGTCAATACCGCTTTGCTGTCTGAGAGTGTCTAATAATTAGTGCCTTGACTCAAATCAGAAGAAATGTTCTCCCATTCCTTGGCTTCCCAACCAAATTAGGTTTCTCTTGGCATTCACATTCATGGATAAATAGTGGCTTGGGCATAAGGAGGCTGAGGGCAGGGGCAGCGGTTCTTCCTTTGCACATCCTTGCTGGTAGCCCCATGGCCAGGTTCCTGACATCAAGGTCACAGACAAGATGGCACAGCAGTCATAGTCAGCACTGCCAGGCACACACTACTAACCATACAGCACTTTTACAATAGTCACAGACACTTAAGACACAGACACAAGGTGGAAGAATGATAGACAGTTTAATAATCAAATATTGGAAAGATTTTTTGGGGTGTGGGAGGAATTCTCTACACCACCATTTAACCCTGTCTCCCTTGGATCTGCGTCTGCACATGACACTCAGAATAACTGATGAAAACAGAGGGTCTAGCATTAAGCAGGTTGCCAAAAGTTTGTGATTATTTCCCCCCTCTGCAACTTAATTGGTTTTCTGTGTTGGTGTTATGGGTAGAAAGACTTGGGGGCTTTATCGTAAAATGTATTCCAATAGCTGAAGGTGGACTCTGTTGTGAGTAGCCTAAAAAAGGGAAAGGCTCTGACAAAAGGATATAATTAGTCTAGAACCAACAAAGCAAGGTCAATGCAAAAGCCAGGGCATGTGTCTGTAGCTGAATGAGGAGGAAACAGCCAATGGTCCTGAGCTGATTACTGCCCAGTTCACTGCACTTGACTACACAAGCCTGGGAGCTGCAGGAAAGCCAGCTGCCTTTCTAATTAGGACACTTGGGACACACCAACTTTTTTGGTCATAAAAGTGGTTGTATAGATTTAATCTTTGAAACAGTCTTTAAAAACAGAGATGTTGCATGATCAGCTAGAAGCTGCTGTTCTTCAAAAGAGAAGGGTGATCTACTGGGATCATCTCCAGGAAGTCCTCCTTATAAGCAGAGATGAGCCTGATCTCTAAACCCCGCAGGTTCTGAAGAGAAGTTCATTTCCTCACTATTTTGAGTTTTCATTAAAATGATAGATAACACGGTGGTGGGGGACGGGAAAGTCCTCCCACTCTAAGGTTAAGATGGAGCCAAGAGTGCAATGAGATTTTAAAAATCTCCCTGAACTTAAATAAAAATCCTGGGCATTATGATGAGATAAAATTTAAATTGTCTACTACAGAACAATAAACTGTTTTTTAGAGATTCTGGTCTTTTCCTCTTTTAACCTTCTTGGTTTATAGTGTCTACGCATTTATATTTAGTGAAAACTAACGGGCACATTGGGATTAAAACTCCAGAGTCAGAATCTGGCCCATGTAATATTGGCATTAATATCACTTAGCTATAACCAAATGAACTAAGTGCTCAGGAACAGCCAACTAAACACTTCTGTCAGTTGTCAATCTCTCAGTGATCCCAACAGAGCACAGTGTGAGGACGTTAGTACAGTCCTCTTCAAAGGGACAGGGAACAAACAGTGTTGTTGTGATACCCATCAAATTATACCACTGAATTAAAAAATGTTTTTAATGTCTCCTCTAATAAATATATTGTAACGTGTGTCACAATTGGTAACACATTTGAACTTGGTGTTCCTTTCGTTAGTTAGTATCTGGATCTATGCAAGCTGCTTTAATTAGATTGCTTTCTGAAAAGAATAATAAGGCAGGTTTAGGACCAGGCAGAACATGAGCATAAGGATAGTGTCTTTCCTTACCATATTTGGTTTAATTTTAGGCATGATCATACCTTCCTAAAGAGGGGCAAGGAGCTGATCACTGAACTACAGCACATTTTTTAGAGTTATTTGTCGTATTGCAAGCAATCTGGATGAGATTTCAGGAAAAGAATGAGCTACCTCGCTCAAATGCATAACAAATATGCTTGACTGGCATTTGGAAAGAAGATAAAAACTCTTATTAAAATTTAACATCAACTTGGCCAGACTTTGGGCTGAACTGGAAGAACAAAGTGATGCTCAGTAAAAAGCCAGGGATGGGAATGATTTGATTTCTACTCATAAGGCTGAAATAAAGAAAATGACAATGGCCAGCTACTTCCTTCATCGCAGGTCTACATAATCTTGGATTCCAACTCTTGCCACTGCACAATGGCTTTTTCTTTTGAAGTGCTTAATTTGTAGTTGTATAGATCTGACTTCAGTGGAAAGAGGGAATATCCAGTGCTACAGTGTTCTCAAAGAGAACAAATGGTTCTGCATTGGTGGTGGTGCACAGAATGATACGGAAAATGATCACACCTCAGCACTAGTCACCTGGGAGCCTGGCCTGGCCAAGCTCCTCCTCCACTTTAACCCAGCTGGAATGGGTAACACGGTTACCACACTTTGGGATACACAGAATTCCATAACAACTTCTAAATATTCTTCTTCCTTTTCCTTTATGTGTCCCAGGGTCTTAAGCTAATTCATTGCCTCTATATTCTGAGAGCACACCCAGCCCAGTGCATGGGTTGGGATTATGGGAGGCACTAAACTTAGGCTGGAATGGCCTTACAGATGTGGCCACAGTGCTATTATTTGCCATAACAATGCCTATGTCAAGAGACACAATGCTACCCACAACATAGGCTTTCTGTGTGATCATGAAAGATGCACTGCCTTATATCCCACTCACCACAGAGGGACCAACCATCCTGCTGTAGAATGACTGAATGGACTGGTGAGGACTGCATCGGAGACATTTTTTTTTAAAAAAAGGAATCACAAGGGGGTCCATCGTGATTGCTCATTTTGACATGAAGCATCAAAGTTACCCAGAACCTTAAACACATCAAGTACAAATGCAACACATACAAGCAAAGCGAATTCAATAGGATTCCTAGCAAACTATTAAACTGCAAGGTGGTAGGGCAGGGATTAGTTGCAGAGAAAGGGAGTGAGATGGTGACAGAGACAGAGATAAGGAAATAGATAGAAGATGAGATATGCAAACCAGTTTTTTACATTTCCATTTTTCAGAGTCTGATCCCACCAGCAAAACAGATCCTGCCCCAGTTGGCCCGAGGCCTCTGATTATGAGGACTATCTGAGCAGAGCTGCAGAAACTATAGCTCTAGTCCTCATGAAAATGAGAGGCAGTTTATTATTAAAATCCAAACATGAAAATACTTCAAACCATTTCGTTAGCAGCATAGTTCCAAATGCAGCATTCCCTTTATCAATCAAGTCTAAACCATGTGGCTTCAGTGCATCTGTCCTGCTAAATCTGCTAAAACTCTTAAAAGAGCAGTGCAAAAGAGAAAAGACATCTTTCCTTTTAAATGGCAGACAATCCTTATAAGACATTCTCTAGGGTTCTATTCTGAAGACTATTCGATTTGATTTGGGGCACTTTTTAAACAGCCATTTGGCACTTTCCGTTCAGAGTTCTTAGGCACAGTGTGACAGAGTCAGCTTGGTGAGCCCTTCCCCATGCATTCGGTACAGCAGCTGAAACTCAGCAGGCAGCTGGTGGGACTCCTGCCACTTGGTGGTAAATTTGGTTCCTTTTTTGTCATAGTAATGGTATGGAAGATCTTCCCTTGTGTTGGGGTCAAATCCAAAAGGCCAAAATCCATACAAGTGGATCTCTTCACATATTGCTGATGCAAGGGTGTACATAAGAATACCTGTGCTCAGCCGTTTAGGTGACAAATGTTTGTTTTTCCAGTACCTGTGGAACAATAAGTACATGTGGATTCAAAGGTCGGCGATGAAGGTTTCAATCAGCAAGGTCAATCTGACTGGGCTGGGTAGTGGATTTGTTAATGTAACTTAAATAGTGCTTGCTTTGAAATGATCTTTTGGGCAACCAAAAACAACCTCTGGGAACAACTGGCTACATAATTTGTGAGATCCAGCAAGAAATAAAAATTTGGACTCTTGGTTCAAAAAGTATTGAAAATTTCAAGTGCAAGAGCAAAGTATTAAGCTAAGTGTTGGGCCTTTCTGAGCGTGGGATTTCCTGGGATCATACTGTTTGCACACCTTTGAAGCTGGCCTTTGAAGCTGCCCCTGGGTTTTTCTAAAGAGTGGTGTGGCTCTGACTCAGCGGTGACACAACAGAAGGCCACCAAAAAGAATGACTCTGCTTTTTTTACATAAAGGGCTCTTGGTTAGGGTAAAGGAGGTCGTTTAATCTAAGGGAAACTCCTCTGTCCCTTCCTTTCTCAAACCTAGAAATAAACCCTTCATTCGGGGTTTAGAAAGACTGTGGAGGCTTATTTTTCTTCTCTCTTGTAAAAAATTGTATTCCTTGCTTCTTTGTCTTCTAACTAGGGATTCCCAAGCCCATCTTCAGCATGCCACAATCTGGCATGCTAAATTTTTTAAATTCAGAAAGTGTGTAAGATACATTAAATGTAAATAATAAGTTATAGTTATTAGTCCTTCCACATTTAAATAATATTAATACTCAGAAACCTTCCTGCTGACACCACCAAATATTTGAGGCTTCTCTGTGGTGTGTGTATCATTGGAGATGCAGGCAGAATGAAACTGTTCATTAGTCAGATTTCTGCGGACTGTATTTCCTTCCAGTTTTCATTGAACCTATGTATTTTTTTGAGGCCTGAGTGGCTGTGAAACATTATGATTAACTCCACTTTTGTGGCAGGCAGCCACACAGGATAGTTTCTGGAAGTTTCTAAGCACATGTAGTTTCTTATTCACTATTTGAAGATTTCAAAGGTGAACCTTTCCCCTTTCAGATGAGATTTAAAAGTTCAATCTTGGTTTTCATATTCCTGTCTAAGGAGCTAGAATGACTCTGACAACCCTTTCGGTGTAGTCAAACTTAAACTGAACAAAAGGGGAGCAAAATGAGGAGATCAAAAGACCATGGGACAGGTCGGCAGGAGACCTGACTTCTAACTCTGGTCTTGCTCATTTAGGGCAGTGACTTTGGGTAAATAACTTCTGCTCCTTGCACCTTAATTGATTCATCTTTAAACTTAGGAGTTGGGCTACATTACCACTTAAAAAGGTGACCATATATCCTGGGGAACTAGGACAGTCCTAGTTTTTCAGTTATCTGTGTTGCAATTATTAATAGCACCCTCTTTCTCTCAAAGAAAAAGTTCCAGTTTGGACCATAAATTATGGCATCACTCTACCACTGAGATACAAACCAGTTTATTAGGCTGTAATTCCTCCTCCTATGAGAGGTCAGCTAAACAGATCTTACATCTTAGGAGGCTACAAGATGGGGAAAATCTATTGTGGAACAAAGATCTTCAGAATTCTCTGTTTACCAGGTGTCCCAGAACCCACCCCAACTTATAGTAATATCTAGGGCTATGTTAGGACACTGAGGCTACTTACATAGGGGAAACTGAAGTTGAGATAATTTTCTCCAGATGAGTTAAAAGAAAAAAAACTCTACAATTAATCTTGTTTTATAACATGCCCTGGACTAGTGGTTCTCAATTCTGACTGCATATTGGAATCATCAGGGGAGTTGTTAAAAAATACCAAGTACCTGGTCTCCACCTCCCTGCCCACCAGATAAATTACATTAGGATCTCTTGAGGCAGAGCCTAGACAATAGTATTTTTAAAGCTCTCAAGTGATTATATATACAACCAGAATTGAAAATCACCAGACTAGATGAAAATATTGCATTTCTGACTGATCTGTCTATCAAATTCCAAGAGGTAACAATATGCTTATAGAATACTTTTATCATGTTTTTGTCCTAAAATATCAGATTATAAAGGCAGACTGTGCAATTTATGATTTATCTAGGTGTTTTGCTAACCTTGGACATCTACAAAACACATAAATTTAAATCAACTTCATTGTTTCTAAAAAAAAAAAAAAACACTTGATTTGTCTCTAATTTAGCCATTGGCATTCTTGGAATATAGTTATCTATTTAGAGAAAATTCTTGATTTGTGGTGATTTCCATGACTGCTCCATAGCCCTACTAAGGGAGAAGACAGAGAAGAGACAGGAAACTGATGAAGCACCAATCCTTCCATCTGACACTTGGTTACCAGCTGTGGGTAGATGGAACTTCTTAGCTAGAATGATTAATTCATTCACTCATTACAAAAGGTATGAGTTTCTTCTAACTACTACTAAACTCACCACAACAACTAATGAATTGGATGGCTCCCACCCCCAAGAGATTACAACATTGATTTGCCATCTGGTGGAATATGAGTAAAATGCAATAAAATATACACACCTGTTGACATGTTGCATTATATTTCCCGGCCAAGCCAGTTGGACTTTTAATTGACCTCTGTGTTCAACAAAAAAGTCAACTAATGTCCTGGTCACAGTTGCTGAAGTGTGGAAGAAAAATGCAGGGATCCAAAGAATGGCCCCATCAAGCTTTTTTAAACTGAGGAAAAAGTTGTTACGGTCCTGAATAGTCAAGAGATTGTTGTAATATTTTTCCAGGATGCTGGGGTTGAAGGTGGTAAGGTTGGTTTTTCTTCCAACATCTCTTTGGAAAGCCTCCGTAGGGGCGAAATTGCAACGGAAAACAAAATCTGATTTATCTATTTCTTGTCCACACTGGCTCCCTGTCAGGATCCCACTATTTCCAACCACAGCACAAATATTATAATGCTTGTTCATAATGGGTGACACATCTGGAAGCAGTGACCGGAAGTTATTGCTAATAGAGAAAACATATTTATGGCTGGAATAATCATAGTGCATCAGTTGTCCAATCCGAACACTATTCTTGGTCAAAGAAAAATTTTTTATTACATCGACATGCTGAAGAATTTCTTGCCTAAAATAAAAAAAAAATTCATGAAAAGCATTCCATTCAGAAGAATTGATTTTTCATCTTACGTCTTATGCTGACATTTCATTCAGAGGGAATATTAGGCTCATTGAATCCAAAAAAGATTATACATACATAATTGTGGTCCTTGAAGGGAGGACTGCTTCACAATCTATGCATATTCTAATCTTTCAGTCAGTTTCTGGGTGTATTCTTTGAGGCTTGTAAATGTAACTTACAGTTTTAGCTGCCATACCTTGGTTTTCTGCTCTACATGAAGAGTGTATCTTATTTGATCAGCAGGGAGGTATAGGGCAAATTATGTCAGAAAATACAGGGAGACAATTTACACAGGCCTGAAATAGCTCACATTAATGCACAAACATTAGTAACACAGAGTTTGTAAGTAGGGTCTACTTGTTTGCTACTGGACTGCAGTGCTCAAAGAGTATCAAATATCACTGGTGTCCAAATAAGAGCCAAATAGATATGAGTCAGGACAGCACTATATATTATTGAAAAAGAAGATGGTAATAGCAGTGGGTGTAGCTGAATATTTAATACAAATGAGATGATAATCTCATTAAGGTCCTCTGAATAATGAAACAGGGGGTTTTTTCTACTTGATTATATAGAAACACAATTTAGTTGAAGAAATCTAATCCTTAGAAGACAAGGCTATTATAAATCCTGAAAATACGTCCATATTCTAACAATTCACTACATAAACAAGGCAAGATTGATACTTAGAACTAATTTCAGGTTGCTTTCATATTGAGCTTTAAGTAAAATTAAGTATCTCTTCTTAAAGTTTTAGCTATTTAAAATATTCAAGAGAGACCAGTAACATGCTACTTGCTGCTAGATTCTCCAATGTTAAGTAATCCCATTGAATTTCTTATAACTTTTGCTAAAATGTAGCAGGAATGAAATGAAATGCTTTGCATATCATCACATTGCTTGGAATTTTATTTTAAAAATGACTTTATTCTTCAAAACAGAGGCAACAGCAACTGAAATCTTTGAAATTTCCCAAGTTACCAGTACCATTCTTACAAGTTGTTAAAAAAGTAAGGCAGATTTTAAATGCTACTGGAAAAAATTTAATTAAAGATTATCTAATTAATTAAAATGAGGGAAGTTTTGAGAAAGAAATATTCTTCTGACTGGTCATTTGGGTCACATGGCCTAGTGTGGGAAGAATATTTTTTATTGAGTTAGAAACATGTTCTGGGGAAAGCTAGAATGTGTTCTACCGATAAAAATTTTCCGAGTTGTCCATAAAATTAACATTGAATTAAAACCCTCCCAATTATTAAAAAAAAAAAAAAACACTTCCAGAGTTTTAGAATTGATCAATTTTCATGAACTAATTTGTAATTAAACATAAGTATTTTTAAAATGTTAATCTTAATCATATGACTGTATGTTGACTTTTCATCTAAACAGTATTTTCATGAGACCATGAATATCCACTGAATTTGTTTTAATTCTGCCCGTAGATTAAACTTGTAAAAGAGAGAAAACAAGCAATACTAGAAATGCTACGACCAAAACACAACTCCCTAAATAGCGTGGTTCGTAAAATAAGTATTCACACTTCTAATGAATACACTAGATGGCTCACATCCCATTTAGCAGTATAATAATCCCACCGTGAAGGAAGGAGTAATGAGTTATTGTGGTTTGCTAAGAGTAGACCAGAATCACTGAGTAGAATAAATACATTTTAACAAATCTCATCCTTCTTCCTTCCACCTAAAAAAACAAAACCCCAAAACCATCTTACGTGTATAAAATGAAACTGCTACAATTAGTATGAATTAAGTTAGTTAGCTTTACAATAAGTAAAGCTGTAAAGAAAACAGGCAAAACCAAAACAAAACCATAGTTAAATACCTACATACATTTGGGCCAGCATTTTCACAAGTAATGTGATGGAGACAGATTATGGCATTTTCTGTGTGTTTCAATGAAACAATACCATTTTATTCTATTTTTCAAGTTTTTTTCAGGTACGGAATGAAAATGCATTGGGTGGTCTTTTTGCAACTAACCTTTTGTCTGTTTTTGAAAAATAGATGGCTTTGGCAGTACTTGCCAGACTTGTTACCTGTAAATCATGGTGCTCAATCAAGCCAAAGTGAAATACCCTTTTTTTTTTTCTATTCAAATTGGTCCTGATGTGTCCTTTTTGTGACAGGACACTACATACTCAGGAGAAGGTTCCTGATCATTGTTTTGGGCAGTCATGCCAAGAAAACAATGCAGATACACCTGGTGGTGAGGGTGGGGGGTATAGATGTTTGTTGTTTTAGATGTTTTTGTTTGCTTGTTTTTGTTTTGTTTTGTTTCGAGCTCTAGAATTCTTAAAAGCACCTTTTGGATCTTTTCCTCCTATCCTACCTTTGAAGTAAAAACGCTGTCCGATTAAATGTCCACTTAGAAGGTTTCTCTTGGAGTTCCTGGGTGAGAGAATTCGTAATGGGCACAAATGACGGGTCTAGAAACTTCAGCGCAAATTGTGACCTGGAGAGGAGCATGAGCACAGACAAACGTGCTGGCCTCAGCTCAGGGAAGCCAAGGTAGCCATTAAAGTCCAGCGGCCGGGGCGGCGGCGGCTGGCACGCGCGCGGGCTCCGTTCCGCCCCGGAGCCCCTCTCATTTGGTCCGCCCTCTGCTCCCACACACACCCGAGAGAAAGAAAGAAAACTAGGGAACCCCATCTGCATTGTCCATCCCTCCGGGTGCCGGAGAGACCATAAAATGGCCGTCATGCGGAGAGCAGGGCGCACGCCGGGCGCAGGGCTGGAGCCCGCGGCGCTGCGAGGACCACGGAATCAGCACCGCGGACAGCGGCCGCCCCGCCAGCCTGACCCGCTACGCCCTTGCAGCCCCAGAGAATTGATTTTTGGAGAAAGGGCAGAGGAAACCGGACACCCAGGGAAAGCCTGGGGGTGGTTCCTGCCTTAACCTCTTCCTTCCCGAGCCCACGTCCGATTTCACTTCCTATAACTTGGCTGGGGGTCCCCGGGGGCCGCCGGCCAACTCCGCTCCTCGGTCCAAGCGGGGCTCCTCTGGGTTCCTCGCCTCGGTCCCAGCTTCGACCACAGGTGGCACTTTGTAGTTGTCACCTGCCCGTCAGGATGCCCCGCTGGGGGAGTTCCCGGGGTCACAGGTAGGGGCGGGGGCTCTCGCAGAGCTGCGTCAAGCTGCGCCTGGCGCCTTCTCAGTTCGGCCCAGCGCCTGGCGGTGACTCCGACCTGGCGAGGGTGGGCGGCCCTTCCGAGGCTGGCTTCCCGCAGGGGGCGGGGGATGCAGGAATCCCGGAAAGGGGGTGGGGGCGGTGGCAGCGAGGGAAAGGGTCGAGGGAGAACGCCCCAGGGGCTTCCTGAGAATAAACCCGCGTGTCCTTTGATAGGGCTGGGGGAGGAGAGGAGGAGGGCGCGAGGGGAGTCCGGCGCCTGCGCCATTAAACCGCCCGCACCGCCCCGGGCCCGGCCCGCGGAGTCTGAGGACAGGGCGCGGGGAGGGCGCTCCCCTCACGCCAGTCCATCTCCGCCCGCCACCCCCTCCCGAACACACACACCGTCTTTCCCTCCACCCTCACCCTCATGAAAGCCTCCCCCAGCCCCCATTTCTGAAATGAGGGAAGGGATGCTGAGAAAGAATACGAGAAATGCAATCACATCGATTTGGACAACGGCTTCTAGGGGCTTTGGGGTAAAAAAAAAAAAAAAAAAAAAAACCAGGGAGGGGGAAGGGAGAATTAGAGAGAGGAGTGGAAAGACCGCGCAGTTATCTGGCCCAAAGAGTCTCGGAGAAACCAAAACACCCCTCCCCCACGTCTCCCCTTCCCCAAACACCCCAGCAACCAAATTCCCGAGGGCGCTAACACAGAGGCCCGCACTCACCGGAATCCCGCGTGGAACATGTACATTCGGGGCGCCCCCGGGCTGGCGTACTTGGGAGTGGTGAAGATGTTCTCCTTTTTCAGGGACACGTAGCTGATGAGCGATAAAATCAGCAGGGCGACGCTGAGCATGACCAGCCCCAGCACACTGGCGACCCGGGCCATTTTGCAATTTCTCATCCCGGGCTGGGCTGGGTTCAGGGAAACCGGGGAAATCGGTCCATTGAGCGGCCAGCAGCTCGCTGGCGCGCGCGCGCGTGTGTGTGTGTGTGCGCGCGCGCGCGTGGCGGAGGAGGGGGACCCGGGGGGGGGCGGGGTGGCGACAGGGGCCGGGGGTTGGAGCCGGCAGGAGCCCTAGAGAGCAGCGGGACCCCCTAGGCAGGGGCGCGTGGGGCCCGGCGCCGAGCAGGAAGATGGAGGGGCTGCGCGGCGGCGTGGCGAAGGAGCGCGCAGCGCCGTGCGTCCCCGGCAGCCGGCTCAGGCTCCCCCGCGCGTTTCCAGCGAGGCTGCCATCTCTGCCGCCGCCTGCAAGATAAATGTGATTGGAATAATGTTACAGTTCGATCTAAGCACAGGATTTAATTAATGAACTCTAATCTCCCAAATAACCGGGGGGAGGGGGTGCAGGAGAGGGAGGGAGTAGGGGGAGGTGGTGGAGGGAGGGGGAATGAGGCTGACAGGCTGCAGCCCGCGCCTACGGCCTCCCCGGCTGAGGGTGCCGGCGAGGTGGCTATAGGGAGACGAGATCCCAAACTTAGTTTAATGGACCATTCATTACTTTATAATATCACGGAATAGGGAGACAAATAACCGGATTTGCTGTCCTAGAGTATAAACAACAGCTGGGTGCTTCTCAGAGAAGCAGGGAGAATGGTTTTTGGAAGGCAGCTGTTTAAAAGCATGTCCCCTCATGCGGGGGCCCTGGCCCTCTGCCCCCCGACCCTCCACCCCAAAGGAAGTTCCAAACAGCAACTGGGCCTGCCTGCCTCGGGAGCCCTTAAAACCTTCTTGGAATTTGCCAGAATGACTCCCCTGTCCGCCTTTTATGCCCACGACATACTTCACTTATCCCTAAAGGTTGGGTAGTGCCTAGCAAAGTTGCCAGGTGACCTGTGAGTAGGGAGGGCCTGCCTTCCTCTCCCCTTTCCGTCTTCCAGTGGAAGGACAATGTGCTTGCCCCTGACTTGACGGCCTGGTGAAGTCAGCCCTGGTTTAACTTTCCATTGCCCACTCTTCAGACCCATCCCTCGGGCCTGGCCTCCTGATGGACTAAGTGGCCTGAGCCTTCCAGAAGCTGAAGCCATTAAAAAACGCAGATCTTTTTATGAAGGAGCCCAAGAACCAAATAAGAGAGGCTGCCTCTGAGAGTGGAAGGAAAACGCACTAACACTTTGCGTTGCTTGACCTTAAATTTGTTTTAGTATATTCACATGTTTCTTGTTTTAATATCCATTAGAAATACAAATTAATCCATTTTCAGTCATGCAATTAGGTGCTCAGGGGAAACTCGCATGTTTCTTTTAACTCTGTCCTTTGCAATTAGCTTATGGCCTCTGCCACCCTAGCTTTACTCTTGGCTTAGTACTCCCTAATACTGGTCAATAAGCGCTAATGAAGAGAGCTAGGGGTGAGAAATTGGCCTTTGAGTTCTGATAAAACAAGTTGAGATTTTTCCAAGGTGGTTATGACTTCTTTCTCTCCTGAACTTCTTGCCCTGTGGGCTTTCATGGACCTAATGTTATTATCTGTCTGGGGTCTGTAAATTCCTTGAAGGGGTGAGCTCCTGGATTGTAAGCTTCTGCAGAGCAAGGCTTGTCTTCCTTCTCCAATACTGTCTCTCACACACGTTATGCTTGCTAAATGTTTGAAGACCTGATGAGCTCCCTTGGGAAACATATCTGTGTGGTTGTGGACAGTAGCACACAGAATGCTCCTATTTGTTTCTAATGACAAAGGGGGTCACTTTGCACCCACTAGACTTTTTGACCAAAATCTAAAAGTGTGTGTCAGAAGGACACAAATAGTCTCCTTCCCTCCGTGGGACTTTTTTATTATTTAAAAAAATTTAGAAAAGGCTTGCATGCCTGGATATGATGAACACTTGAATTGTATTTTTTTGAATTGCTATTTTTTAAAAAATGATTGTATAAGTAAGGTGTAAAATGCCAAAAGGGAGTAAGATCTTAAGAGAGCCATCTAGGAATGACACCTATTAGAAAAAATCTTCTTGAACAAGAAATCAGGGAACATGCTATGGAGAGGCAACCCGGGGTAGTGTTACACCTTCAGACTCTGGAGTCAGAAAGACCTGACTTCAAAAGCATACTCTGGGTATTATCAAAAACACAAAAAATAACATATGTTGGCAAGGATGCAGAGAAAAGGGAACTCTTATACACTGTTGGTGGGAATGCATACTAGTATAGCCACTATGGAGAACAGTACAGACGTACCTGAGAAAACTACAAATTGAACTATCATAAGATCCAGTAGTCCCATTACTGGGCATTTATGCAAAGGAACAGAAATCAGTATTTCAAAGAGTTATCTACCACCGTGTTTATTGCCACACTGTTCACAATAGCCAAGATATGGATCAACCCAAGTATTCAACAGCAGATGAATGGATACAGAAAATGTGGTATATATACATAATGGAATCCCATTCAGCCATAAGTAAGAATGAAATTCTGTCATTCTCGGCAACGTGAATGAGCCTGGAGGACATTATGTTAAGTAAAATAAGCCAGGAACAGAAAGTTAAACACCGCATGTTCTCACTCATACACAGAAGCTAAAAACGCTGATCTCAAAGAAGTAAAAAGTAGAACAGAGAATACTAGAGGCTGGGAAGTGTAGGGGGAAGAGAGGATAAAAGATTTGTTAAAGGATACAAAATTACAGCTGGATAGAAGGAATAAGTTCTAGTGTTCTATGGCACTATAGGATGACTATAGTTACAATAATGTATTATATATTTTCATATACCTAGAAGAGAAGATATTGAATGCCCCAAAACAAAGAAATGATACAAGTTTGAGATGACAAATATGCGAATTACCCTGATGGGATCACTATACATTGTATGTATCAAAATATCACTATGTACCTATATATGTATGATTATTATGTATCAATTAAAATAAATGTTTACTCTGGCATACATAGCCAGGTGACCTTGGGTAAGTTACAACTTCTCTGTATTTCAGTCTCCTCATCTGCATAACTGGGATAAAAGTCTCCCAGGGTTTGGGGGAAGATTAAACAAAGCATATAAAGGCCTTGCACCCTGGCCTATATTAAGCAGTTAATAAATATGAGCTAACAGCTTGGGTACGTTTTTAGTGTCTTTTTCTCTGACGCTGTATATGTCCTGCTACAGAGTGCATAGGAAAGGACATACTTGGGTGAGATATTTTCTTGGAGAGAATAGCAAAGATCAAGAAACTCTTCAGTTCCCTTTTTAAAACAGCATAACAATCATGAAAATGGCCCTACTGCCTAAGGTAATTTATAGATTTAATGCCATCCCCATTAAGCTACCAATGACTTTCTTCACAGAATTGGAAAAAACTACTTTAAAGTTCATATGGAACCATAAAAGAGCCCGCATTGCCAAGACAATCCTAAGTCAAAAGAACAAAGCTGGAGGCATCACGCTACCTGACTTCAAACTATACTACAAGGCTATAGTAAACAAAACAGCATGGTACTGGTACCAAAACAGAGATATAGACCAATGGAACAGAACAGAGCCCTCAGAAATAATACCACACATCTACAACCATCTGATCTTTGATAAACCTGGCAAAAACAAGAAATGGGGAAAGGATTCTGTATTTAATAAATGCTGCTGGGAAAACTGACTAGCCATAAGTAGAAAGCTGAAACTGGATCCCTTACTTACTCCTTATACAAAAATTAATTCAAGATGGATTAGAGACTTAAATGTTAGACCTAAAACCATAAAAACCCTAGAAGAAAACCTAGGCAATACCATTCAGGACATAGGCATGGGCAAGGACTTCATGTCTAAAACACCAAAAGCAATGGCAACAAAAGCCAAAATTAACAAATGGGATCTAGTTAAACTAAAGAACTTCTGCACAGCAAAAGAAACTACCATCAGAGTGAACAGGCAACCTACAGAATGGGAGAAAATTTTTGCAATCTAGTCATCTGACAAAGGGCTAATATCCAGAACCTACAAAGAACTCAAACAAATTTACAAGAAAAAAACGAACAACCCCATCAAAAAGTGGGCAAAGGATATGAACAGACACTTCTCAAAAGAAGACATTTAATTTATGCAGCCAACAGACACATGAAAAAATGCTCATCATCGCTGGTCATCAGAGAAGTGCAAATCAAAACCACAATGAGATACCATCTCACACCAGTTAGAGTGGCAATCATTAAAAAGTCAGGAAACAACAGGTGCTGGAGAGGATGTGGAGAAATAGGAACACTTTTACACTGTTGGTGGGACTGTAAACTAGTTCAACCGTTGTGGAAGACAGTGTGGCGATTCCTCAAGGATCTAGAACTAGAAATACCATTTGACCCAGCCATCCCATTACTGGGTATATACCCAAAAGATTATAAATCTATGCTGCTATAAAGATACATGCACATGTATGTTTATTGTGGCTCTATTCACAATAGCAAAGACTTGGAACCAACCCAAATGTCCATCAATGACAGACTGAATCAAGAAAATGTGGCATGTATACACCATGGAATACTATGCAGCCATAAAAAAAGATGAGTTCATGTTCTTTGTAGGGACATGGATGCAGCTGGAAACCATCATTCTGAGCAAACTATCGCAAGGACAGAAAACCAAACACCGCATGTTCTCACTCATAGGTGGTAATTGAACAATGAGATCACTTGGACACAGGAAGGGGAACATCACACACTGAGGCCTATTGTGGGGTTGGGGGAGGGGGGAGGGATAGCATTAGGAGATATATCTAATGTAACTGATGAGTTAATGGGTGCAGCACACCAACATGGCACATGTATACATATGTAACAAATCTGCATGTTGTGCACATGTACCCCAGAACATAAAGTATAACTAAAAAAAAAGAAAAAAAAAAAAAAGAAAAACAGCATTACAGGCTTTCCTGAGACATCTGATATGGGTTTGCTTTGCCTGGATTTAAAAACTGATGTCTTACTTATGCTTAGCACATCTCTGTGAACCTTCTAAAGAAAGTCCTAGGAGGATGATTTTCATATTGCATACAGGCCATTGAAGGTCATATGATATAAAGGGACCAAATTAGCCAGAAAATAAACAGGCAGGCAGTCATCCTTATTACATGTGCCAGGCTTATGGGTGAAAACAGATTGCTCAATAATTACCAGGGAAATAATTTTGGTGGTGGTGCTTCAAAAAACAGCTGTAGCTACTGGATAAGGGATTTTTCAGGCCTGAGATTGTAGCCATCTAATAATTTTTAAACATCAGGACATTTTTACAAAATATCACTTATCAAATTTCACTGGAAATCAGCCCTGTGCAAGAGTATAGGAGAGTGAAAATAAGCATCACAGAAATGAAAAATGCCCCAGATTTAGTGTTTTCTAGGAGAGTGTTATTGTAGACATAGGAACTTACTTCCCTTCTTCCACTCTCATGAGTGCCCACCTTTTGCAAACATGACTCAGCTCCCTGGCTAGCCCCTCACCAACCCATATTGGCCAAGATCAATTTCCAGGAACCATTTAGGTGGGAAGGCCAGGAAAGCTGGTGTCTTTTGTTAGAAACAACATTGTTCCTTTGGGAAGCAGAGGTGGGCAGATCACTTGAGGTCAGGAGTTTGAGACCAGCCTGGCCAACATGATGAAAGCCTGTCTCTACTAAAAATACAAAAATTAGCCGAGTGTGGTGGCGGGCCCCTGTAATCCCAGCTACTCAGGAGGCTGAAGAAGGAGAATCATTTGAACCCAGGAGGCAGAGGTTGCAGTGAGCTGAGATCACACCACTGTACTCCAGCCTGGGTGATAGAATGAGGCTGTCTCAAACAAAACAAAACAAAAACAGCATTGTTTATTCATTCATTTATTTCTGTTTTCTTTAATCATTCATGAAATGTTGGTTATCAGACACCATGCTTGGCAGACTCAGGGGTTATAAAATCATCCTTGACCCCACGATGCACGATGCTTATGGTCTTTTTGGGGAGAAGGATGTAAACATAACAGAGGTACTACGCGAAAAGCTTCACGCCAGAGGACTGCTGAGAAAACTGGGCAACACACTCTGTCTGGGAGGTTAGCAAAGTTCTTCATAGAGGGCAACGTTTGAGCTGGATTTTAAAGCACGAGTAGGATTCATTATGTACAGAAGTTTAGAAAGGCCATTCCAAGTAAAGGGAGGAAAGATTATGGTGGGCTTGGGGAAGAGCAAGAGGTAGGAGGTGACTGCCGTAAGAGAAGAGCCCAGAAAGCTAGTTAGAGTCAGATCAGGATGGGCCTGTGGGACATGATAAGGACTTGTTCAGGATCCTCTCGCAGCACTGCTCAGAACCATCTAAAGTTCACAGAGAGGAATGACTCAATGTGATTTGCACTGAATGGATGTCGAAGCAGCTGGAGCCAGGCCCGTGGGGAGGTGAGACACCAGCTGCTCCTGTGGATGTCAGCCGATGCGCCTCGTGGCCCTCCAGCCTGTCCATGTGCTAGAGGCCCCAGTGTGCCTTAATTTATCAATGAACCAATTGGCCATTTTATGTTATGAGACACCCCTGAATAAGGCATTAGGGAGTTGACTTTCGGGAGGGCAAGTGACCCTTCCCAGACAGCACGGAGATAATCGTGTGGGGACCTCAGAGGGAGTCCACTGAGGAGCTGCTCTTTGGCTGCATGTGACCGGAGTCCTTTCTGATGGCTGTTGCCAAGCACCTTGGTTTCTAATAAGTCTAACAGAGGACTCAGAGGAAGGGCCTTGGGGTCTTCTGGATTTGCACCTCCTCTTTCCCTATAGAAGATAAGCAGTCTATGAATTCAATGGTGGGAAAAGTCACTGTGGTCACATAAAGTGTCATAAAATCTCAGATGAAACAGAAGCATGAAAGTTTCCAGATATGGAGATGGAAAGAGAGGATGGGGCAGGCAGGGCAAGAGAACTGAACAAAGATGTGGAGGCTGAAGAGGGCAAGGCGTGACAGGAG